ATGTTAATTACTCTATAAAGGAGTGACAGTTATTTATTCTGGTTTAATTATGTCAGCTCTGTATGTCTGTTGTGTCATCAGCACCATTTTACTAAGTATGAATAAATACTAACTCGTCTGTCCAATGTCCACAGTGCACAGTATGTCCTCTGTCCACAGTCTGCCCTATGTCCACACTGCACAGTCTCTCCACTGTCTACAGTCTGTCCTCTGTCCACAGTGCACAGTCTGTCCTTAGGGAAATAGACCTAATGAAGCAATGTTAATTACTCTATAAAGGAGTGACAGTTATTTATTCTGGTTTAATTATGTCAGCTCTGTATGTCTGTTGTGTCATCAGCACCATTTTACTAAGTATGAATAAATACTAACTCGTCTGTCCAATGTCCACAGTGCACAGTATGTCCTCTGTCCACAGTCTGCCCTATGTCCACACTGCACAGTCTCTCCACTGTCTACAGTCTGTCCTCTGTCCACAGTGCACAGTCTGTCCTTAGGGAAATAGACCTAATGAAGCAATGTTAATTACTCTATAAAGGAGTGACAGTTATTTATTCTGGTTTAATTATGTCAGCTCTGTATGTCTGTTGTGTCATCAGCACCATTTTACTAAGTATGAATAAATACTAACTCGTCTGTCCAATGTCCACAGTGCACAGTATGTCATCTGTCCACACTGCACAGTCTGACCTTTGCCCACAGTACACAGAGTGCCCAGTATGTCATCTGTCCATGGTACACAGTCTGGCCTATGTCAACAGTGTACAGTCTGGCCTATGTCCTCTGTCAACAGTGCCCAATATGTCATCTGTCCACCGTACACAGTCTGGCCTCTGTCAACAGTGCCCATTATGTCATCTGTCCACACTGCACAGTCTGGCCTATGTCTACAGTGCACAGTATGTCCTCTGTCCACAGTGCTCAGTCTGTTCTCCGGTCCTCAGTAAACATTCTGGCCTATGTCCTCTGTCCACAGTACACATTCTGGCCTATGTCAACAGTGGCCAATATGTCATCTGTCCACAGAGTGCCCAGTATGTCATCTGTCCACACTGCACAGTCTGTCCTCTGTCAACAGTGGCCAGTATATCATCTGTCCACAGTACCCAGTCTGGCCTATGTCCTCTGTGAACAGTGTGTCCGCTGGCCACACTGCACAGTCTGGCCTCTGTTCACAGTACACAGTCTGTCATCTGTTCACAGTGCACAGTTTGTCCCTGTCCACAGTGCACAGTATGTCATCTGTCCACAGTACACAGTCTGGCCTATGTCAACAGTGTACAGTCTGTCCTCAGTCCACATTGCACAGTCTGTCCTCTGTCCACAATGCACAGTCTGGCCTATGTCCTCTGTCAACAGTGGCCAGTATATCATCTGTCCACAGTACACAGTCTGACCTATGTCAACAGTGTACAGTCTGTCCTCTGTCCACAGTGCACAGTCTGGCCTTTGTCCTCTGTCCACAGTGCACAGTATGTCCTCTGTCCACAGTACACAGTCTGGCCTATGTCCTCTGTCAACAGTCTGTCCTCTGTCCACACTGCACAGTCTGGCCTATGTTCACAGTGTACAGTCTGTGATCTGTCCACAGTGCACAGTTTGTCCCCTGTCCACAGTCTGTCCTCTGTCCACAGTGCACAGTCTGGCCTATGTTCACAGTGTACAGTCTGTGATCTGTCCACAGTGCACAGTCTGTCCTTAAGGAAATAGACTTAATGAAGCAATGTTAATTACTCTATAAAGGAGTGACAGTTATGTATTCTGGTTTAATTATGTCAGCTCTGGATGTCTGCTGTGTCATCAGCACCTTTTTACTAAGCATGAATACATACACACTCGTCTGTCCAATGTCCACAGTGCACAGTATGTCCACTGTCTACAGTGCACAGTCTGTCCTCTGTCCACAGTGCACAGTCTGTCCTCTGTCCACAGTGCACAGTATGGCCTCTGTCCACAGTGCCCAGTCTGGCCTCTGTCCACACTACACTGACTGGCCTATTTCCACAGTGTTCAGTCTGTGCTCTGTCAACAGTGCACAGTATGTCATCTGTCCATAGTACACAGTTTGTCCTCTCTCCACAGTGCACAGTATGGCCTCTGTCCACAGTGCCCAGTCTGTCCTCTGTCCACACTAAACAGTCTGGCCTATGTCTACAGTGCACAGTCTGTCCTCTGTCCAAAGTCTGTCCACTGTCCACAGTACACAGTCTGTCCTATGTCCACAGTGCACAGTCTGTCATCTGTCCATGGTAAACAGTCTGGCCTATGTCAACAGTGCACAGTCTGTCCTCTCTCCACAGTGCACAGTCTGACCTATGTCCTCTGTCAACAGTGGCCAGTCTGTCATTTGTCCACAGTACACAGGCTGACCTCTGTCCACAGTACACAGTCTGTCCTCTCTCCACAGTGCACAGGCTGTCCTCTCTCCACAGTGCACAGTCTGTCATCTGTCCATGGTAAACAGTCTGGCCTATGTCAACAGTGCACAGTCTGTCCTCTGTCCAAAGTCTGTCCACTGTCCACAGTACACAGTCTGTCCTACGTCCACAGTGCACAGTCTGTCATCTGTCCATGGTACACAGTCGGGCCTATGTCAACAGTGCACAGTCTGTCCTCTCTCCCCAGTGCACAGTCTGACCTATGTCCTCTGTCAACAGTGGCCAGTCTGTCATTTGTCCACAGTACACAGTCTGACCTCTGTCCACAGTACACAGTCTGTCCTCTCTCCACAGTACACAGTCTGTCCTCTCTCCACAGTGCACAGTCTGTCCTCTCTCCACAGTGCACAGTCTGTCATCTGTCCATGGTACACAGTCTGGCCTATGTCAACAGTGCACAGTCTGTCCTCTCTCCACAGTGCACAGTCTGACCTATGTCCTCTGTCAACAGTGGCCAGTCTGTCATTTGTCCACAGTACACAGTCTGACCTCTGTCCACAGTACACAGTCTGCACTATGTCCTCACTGCACTGTCTGTCCACTGTCTGTCATCTATCCACAGTACTCAGTCTGTCCTATGTCAACAGTACACAGTCTGTCCTCTGTCCAAAGTCTGTCCACTGTCCACAGTACACAGTCTGTCCTATGTCCACAGTGCCCAGTCTGTCATCTGTCCATGGTACACAATCTGGCCTATGTCAACAGTGTACAGTCTGTCCTCTGTCCACAGTACACAGTCTGACCTATGTCCTCTGTCAACAGTGGCCAGTCTGTCATTTGTCCACAGTACACAGTCTGACCTCTGTCCACAGTACACAATCTGTCCAATGTCCTCACTGCACAGTCTGTCCACTGTCTGTTCTCTATCCACAGTACACAGTCTGTCCTCTGTCCACAGTGCACAGTCTGTGCTCTGTCCACAGTGACAGTTTGTCCTCTGTCTACAGTCTGTCCTCTGTACACAGTGCACAGTCTGGCCTATGTCCACATTGCACAGTATGTTCTCTGTCCAAAGTCTGCCCTATGTCCACACTGCACAGTCTCTCCACTTTCTACAGCCTGTCCTCTGTCCACAGTGCACATTCTGTCCTTAGGGAAATAGACCTAATGAAGCAATGTTAATTACCCTATAAAGGAGTGACAGTTATGTATTCTGGTTTAATTATGTCAGCTCTGGATGTCTCTTGTGTCATCAGCACCATTTTACTTAGTATGAATACATACAAACTCGTCTGTCCAATGTGCACAGTGTGTCATCTGTCCACATTACACAGTATGGCCTCTGTCCACAGTGCACAGTCTGTCCTCTCTCCACAGTGCGCTGTCTGGCCTATGTCCTCTGTCAACAGTGGCCAGTATATCATCTGTCCACAGTACACACTCTGGCCTATGTCCTCTGTCAACAGTCTGTACTCTGTCCACACTGCACAGTCTGTCATCTGTCAACAGTATGTCCTCTGTCCACACTGCACAGTCTGTCCTCTGTCCACAGTACACAGTCTGGCCTATGTCCTCTGTCAACAGTCTGTGCTCTGTCCACAGTGTACAGTTTGTCCCCTGTCCACACTACAGCGACTGGCCTATTTCCACAGTGTTCAGTCTGTCCTCTGTCCACAGTCTGTCCTTTGTTCACAGTACACAGTCTGTCCTCTGTCCACAGTGCACAGTCTGTCCTCTCTCCACATTGCACAGTCTGGCCTATGTCAACAGTGCACAGTATATTATCTGTCCACAGTCTGCCCTATGTCCACACTGCACAATCTGTCCACTATCCACAGGCTGTCCTCTGTCCACAGTGTACAGTCTGTTCTCTGTCCACAGTGTACAGTCTGTCCTCTGTCCACAGTGCACAGTCTGTCCTAAGGGAAATAGACCTAATAAAGCAATGTTAATTACTCTATAAGGGAGTGACAGTTATGTATTCGGGTTTAATTATGTCAGCTCTGGATGTCTGTTGTGTCATCATCATCATTTTACTAAGTATGAATACATACATACTTATTTGTCCTCTGACCACACTGCACAGACTGTCCTCTGTCCACAGTGCTGTCCTCTGTCCAAAATGCACAGTCTGTCCTATGTCCACAGTGCACAGTAGGTTCTCTGTCCACAGTCTGTCCTTTCTCCACAGTGCACAGTCTGTCCTCTGTCCAGAGTGCACAGTCTGTCCTTTGTCCACAGTGTACAGTCTGTCCTTTGTCCACAGTACACAGTCTGTCCTTTATCCCCAGTGCATAGTCTGTCCTCTGTCCAGAGTGCACAGTCTGTCCACTGTCCACACTGCAAAGTCTGTCCTCTGTCCACAGTACACAGTCTGTTCTTTATTCCCAGTACACAGTCTGCTCTCTGTCCACAGTACACAGTCTGTTCTCTGTACACAGTACACAGTCTGTCCTCTATCCACAGTACACAGTCTGTTCTTTATCCCCAGTACACAGTCTGTTCTCTGTTCACAGTGCACAGTCTGTCATCTGTCTACAGTGCACAGTCTGTCCTCTGTCGATGATAGTGACGTCACGTTCGACGACCGTGACGTCGTCTAAAGATACCCGTACGATTCTGACAAGCTCAGACGACACACTTCATCACCGAATCACAAGACAAGCTTATGCAGTCTATCCGACTTCCTCCGCCAACACCAATTATTTCAACGGCAAGCAGATATGTAAAGGAAGGAACGACAAAACATATCAAACGATAAGGAGCTCATTAGGAAACAACATCGCCAAAGAATGCATAGACAGCGACGTGCAAGCGGCCATTATTATTACACGCTACCCTGTAAGTATATTGTCCAAATAAAATCACCTACCTCACTCTTTTCTTATACCGTTAACGTCACGCTACCACAATTGGTACAATTTTGACGGTTTTTTAGTGATCTTTAAAAATTCAGATCTTGTATCTGGAATGTTTCTTGATTCCTGACAAAGACTACTGTACCTATGGTGGTTCATTTTCAAGAAAAGATGTATATCTAGGTAATTTATCTTTGAAAATAGAACGCTAAACTCGCAGTGAGATTTCGTCCGTTTTTCGTCCGTAAATAGTACCCATATTGGTACACCATATCACAGACTATCGAAACTGTTTTTATTTCTACAAGTTGATGTGCCGATTACAACAAAATATATTGCTTTTATAGATACCATACTGAACTATATTTGTATATATTCACTTTTATATTATTCGAATATAAGGACCAGAAATCAACATTTAAACATGCTTATATTTAACCCCTTGAAAATCCTCCAAAATTTCGTCGACGTACGTCGTTTTTACTTGTTTTCTGATATGTTTACTTTGAAGTCATCGTGTACTCTTAAAATGTTCCTGAAAACAAAACTATTCGGCAGAAATGCTGATAAATATCTATTTTGTTATACTGTCAAAGAAAAATGCTGAAATTTAATTTTAAAGTACTATTCGAACAATTTTCTGACCGTGTACCAATTTGGGTAGTGTACCAATTGTGGTAGCGTGACGTTAGCTAATGTATTATTGTGAATTGTCTACGTGTTAACTATTATTTTTAGTTGAAACAAGGACGCGACATCACCTGCTACAACACCTTCCAGAGCACCGACACACTCACTTCCTACACGAAAAAAAGATCATCTCAGTTTAATACCAAACTCGAAAACATAGTAAATATGCCGTGAATTTTATATCGTAAATAACGTATGTTGTAACTATTTATTGTTTGTAAATATGTTTTATGCAAAAGATTATCAAATAAAATGAAAATATATAATTAAAAAGAGCAGAAACAGAGGAGAAAAGAACAGAAAAGAGAAGAAAAAAACAATGAAACAGCGTCGCCGAGAGAGAGAATACCTGAAATCAGAAGGTAAAAGTTAGAAACAAGGGGAACTAATTCCGTCGGTAAATGCCAAATTGATGACGTCATACGCAATACACACACCTATTGAAAACAATGTACATGTAATAGCGATTTTCATTTCTGTATGCGTTCTTTCTCGTACTACAAGGGTTCGCAGGTCTGTCAAGCATCAGAGAGAGAGAGAGAGACCGTCCATGGAATCAATACTGGGGCCGTATAGGTTCATTGGGTTTCTAAGGCGCCATCTTGGATCCAAGATGGCGGATTTCCTTAGCAACCCTTAACCCAGATCCACATCTATTCATCATACATACACAATGTAGTTACCATATATACACAATGTAGTTACCATATATACACAATGTAGTTACCATATATACACAATATAGTTACCATATATACACAATGTAGTTACCATATATATACACAATGTAGTTACCATATATATACACAATGTAGTTACCATATATATACACAATGTAGTTACCATATCTACACAATGTAGTTACCATATATATACACAATGTAGTTACCATATATATATACAATGTAGTTACCATATCTACACAATGTAGTTACCATATATATACACAATGTAGTTACCATATATATACACAATGTAGTTACCATATATATACACAATGTAGTTACCATATATATACACAATGTAGTTACCATATATACACAATGTAGTTACCATATATATACACAATGTAGTTACCATATATATACACAATGTAGTTACCATATATACACAATGTAGTTACCATATATATACACAATGTAGTTACCATATATACACAATGTAGTTACCATATATACACAATGTAGTTACCATATATACACAATGTAGTTACCATATATACACAATGTAGTTACCATATATACACAATGTAGTTACCATATATACACAATGTAGTTACCATATATACACAATGTAGTTACCATATATATACAATGTAGTTACCATATATACACAATGTAGTTACCATATATATACAATGTAGTTACCATATATTCACAATGTAGTTACCATATATATACAATGTAGTTACACAATGTAGTTACCATATATACACAAGGTAGTTACCATATATATACACAATGTAGTTACCATATATATATACACAATGTAGTTACCATATATATACAATGTAGTTACACAATGTAGTTACCATATATATACACAATGTAGTTACCATATATATACACAATGTAGTTACCATATATATACACAATGTAGTTACCATATATATACACAATGTAGTTACCATATATATACACAATGTAGTTACCATATATATACACAATGTAGTTACCATATATATACACAATGTAGTTACCATATATATACACAATGTAGTTACCATATATATACACAATGTAGTTACCATATATATACACAATGTAGTTACCATATATATACACAATGTAGTTATACACAATGTAGTTACCATATATATACACAATGTAGTTACCATATATACACAATGTAGTTATGATGAATTTATTTAAGAATACTTAGAAATGAGAAATAATATAAAGAGTAATACTATGTAAAGGATCAGGGGAGATAACTCCAACATGATAAGCACAATAACTTATAGCAACTCACAAACAATACACAAACAACTCACAATCATACACCCAACACTGACACCTACAGTTATTCTCTCATTTTTAAATCAAAGTCCCAATCAGTAATTTATATGTACATAAAGAGTAGATATTGACCAAACTAATAGCTTCTGTGGATAGATCGTGTTATATACTCCATTGTTCTAGATATGTACTAGACAGATTTGTTGTAGAACTGCTCTTCTATATCTATTGAGTTCATGCTATCTTTATATAACCCTACACGTCCTTACTGTATATAGCAGTTGCAGAAATACCCTGTACTATACTTCCGGTTTAGACAAACACGGTTTGTATGACGGAAGGAGAATTAAGGTATGCATAAGTCTTTTTATTTTAATAATCATGCTATCGTATATTTGGTAGTTTCTGTTAGAATATGGCTGAATATTACAGGAACCAATTTTTAATTTTAATAAAAGTTGAAATCCTTTTTTTGGATTATCAGGATCGGAATGTTTTGATTTGAATACAGATGTAAACTGTGCCTCCTGTAACTATAATTTATAATTATAAGTAAAAGACAACATTGGGAAACGGTCTGACGAGACGTAAAGAATTTACCAGTACTATAGTGTAGCTATAGTTAACAGTACAAAACACATTTGTTATCGTAAGTAGTAGGTCGTATTTCTCTTCATCTATATCATGGTGTATACTAATGTCTAAAACATGAGTCATATAAGGGTTTATATCTAGTACCAGCCATGTGTAATGTTATCTCTAATGCATTACACGGGGCAGACGTTGATAACTAAACGACCTCATATTCAATAATAGTATTACCATAATACAGTACGACATTTCATACACGATTCCTGATAAGTGATGTTTACTTCCCTGTTACACCTTAGTGGTGTATTCATACAAATATAGCATGGGTATAAAACTGATATTGTCATGACATATAAACATCTGCCGGTTGTCTTGATTTCACCATGTAAACTGATCTGCGTAAAGAGCTACAAGACTTGAATCAACAAATTAAAATCTACTCCCGATACTAATATTGACAGTTAACTTTGTTTGGTTTTCTGCATCGACAAAATTACTTGCTACTTCGTAACTTTGTATTTCTAGAACTTATCTTACGTTACAACATTGTTGGTTGTGCTGTAGGACTATCAGTCCCCGAGGTTGACCGTTCTGATGGACTATCAGTCCCAGAGGTTGGCTGTTCTGATTGACTATCAGTCCCCGAGGTTGGCTGTTCTGATGGACTATCAGTTCCTGAGGTTGTCTGTTCTGATGGTCTATCAGTCCCCGAGGTTGGCTGTTCTGATGGACTACAGTATCAGTCCCCGAGGTTGACCGTTCTGATGGACTACAGTATCAGTCCCCGAGGTTGGCTGTTCTGATGGACTATCAGTCCCCGAGGTTGGCTGTTCTGATTGACTATCAGTCCCCGAGGTTGGCTGTTCTGATGGACTATCAGTTCCTGAGGTTGACCGTCCTGATGGACTATCAGTCCCCGAGGTTGGCTGTCCTGATTGACTATCAGTCCCCGAGGTTGGCTGTTCTGATGGACTATCAGTCCCCGAGGTTGGCTGTTCTGATGGACTATCTGTTCCTGAGGTTGACCGTCCTGATGGACTATCAGTCCCTGAGGTTGGCTGTTCTGATGGTCTATCAGTCACCGAGGTTGACCGTTCTGATGGCCTATCAGTCCCCGAGGGTGGCTGTTCTGATGGCCTATCAGTCCCCGAGGTTGGCTGTTCTGATGGTCTATCAGCCCCCGAGGTTGACCCTTCTGATGGACTATCAGTCCCCGAGGTAAGCCGTTCTGATGGAATATCAATACCCGATGTTGACCGTTCTGATGGACTTTCAGTCCCCGAGGTTGGCTGTCCTGATGGTCTATCCGTCCCCGAGGTTCACCGTTCTGATGGACTTTCAGTCCCCGAGGTTGGCTGTCCTGATGGTCTATCCGTCCCCGAGGTTGACCGTTCTGATGGTATTTCAGTCCCCGAGGTTGGCTGTTTCGATGGACTTTCAGTCCCCGCGGTTGGCTGTTTCGATGGACTTTCAGTCCCCGAGGTTGGCTGTTCTGATGGACTTTCAGTCCCCGAGGTTGGCTGTTTCGATGGACTTTCAGTCCCCGAGGTTGACCGTTCTGATGGTCTATCAGTCACCGTGGTTGACCGTTCTGATGGCCTATCAGTCCCCGAGGTTGGCTGTTCTGATGGTCTATCAGTCACCGAGGTTGACCGTTCCGATGGAATATCAATACCAGAGTTAGACCTTTCTGATGATCTATCAGTCACCGAGGTTGACCCTTCTGATGGTCTATCAGCCCCCGAGGTTGACCGTCCTGATGGACTATCAGTCCCCGAGGTAAGCCGTTCTGATGGAATATCAATACCCGATGTTGACCGTTCTGATGGACTTTCAGTCCCCAACGTTGGCTGTCCTGATGGTCTATCCGTCCTCGAGGTTGACCGTTCTGATGGTCTTTCAGTCCCCGAGGTTGACCGTTCTGATGGTCTTTCAGTCCCCGAGGTTGGCTGTTCCGATGGACTATCAGTCCCCGAGGTTGACCGTTCTGATGGTCTATCAGTCACCGAGGTTGACCGTTCTGATGGAATAGAATCTATTAAATCTATTAATGTTTCAAAACTTTCTCCGAATTAAATTCTAAGGTTTGTTGGTTTATATATAATAACAGAAAATGTTTATTACCGTTTGACCCTGTCCGGTGTATTATTGTGTGTATGTATACTTCGTATACTGGTGCATATCTCAAGATAACAATTACCTATAATGGTAAATATCTTAACCATTACTAAAGCACAACTGATAAGTGTTTGTATGCGTCAGTATGTATTTTTTTTTATATATATACAACATCTGATATAGCGCCCTATCTAGCTAACATAAGCCCCTCTAGAGTGCTTTACAGTACATAGGTATACAATATACATAATGTATACAAAATTTGATATAGCGACCTATCTAGCTAACATAAGCCACTCTAAAACGCTTTACAGTACATATATATACAATATACATAATATACAACATTTGATATAGCGCCCTATGTAGCTAACATAAGCCACTCTAAAACGCTTTACAGTACATATATATACAATATACATAAAGTATACAACATTTAATATAGCGCCCAATCTAGCTAACATAAGCCACTCTAAAGCGCTTTACAGTACATAGATAAACAATATACATAATGTATACAACATTTGATATAGCGCCCTACAATGTATCTAGCTAACATAAGCCACTCTAAAGCGCTTTACAGTACATAGATATACAATAAACATAATGTATACAACATTTAATATAGCGCCATATCTAGCTACCATAAGCCACTCTAAAGCGCTTTACAGTACACAGATATACAATATACATAATGTATACAACATTAGATATAGCGCCCTATCTAGCTAACATAAGCCACTCTAAAGCGCTTTACAGTACATAGATATTCAATATACTTAATGTTTACAACATTTAATATAGCGCCCTATCTAGCTAACATAAGCCACTCTAAAGCGCTTTACAATACATAGATAAACAATATACATAATGTATACAACATTTAATATAGCGCCCTATTTAGCTAACATAAGCCACTCTAAAGCGCTTTACAGTACATAGATAAACAATATACATGATGTATACAAAATTTAATATAGCGCCCTATCTAGCTAACATAAGCCACTCTAAAGCGCTTTACAATACATAGATAAACAATATACATAATGTATACAAAATTTAATATAGCGCCCTATCTAGCTAACATAAGCCACTCTAAAGCGCTTTACAGTACATAGATATTCAATATACTTAATGTTTACAACATTTAATATAGCGCCCTATCTAGCTAACATAAGCCACTCTAAAGCGCTTTACAGTACATAGGTATACAATTAATACACGTCAATACAATTTTGAGGAATTCGCAGGAGCTGCCTTATCATGCGCTACTTACTAGTCCTATGCCACCTGGCTAATAACTCCAAATGTGTGTATGCATGCGAATACACAGTCAAAATTTAATTCAGGGAAATTGTAACTTGTTTATTCTGCTTTGGAGTTATCAATAATGATACCTAATATACGTGTATCATTTCAGATGGCGAAAAGGGTGACAGTCCAAAACTTAACATGTAGAAGGTGAGTTATGATATCATTTTCCTATATTACTTTTGAATTAGATCCTACAGTTGATATAGACCTCTCTGTAGTTATCCAAAATGTTAGCAAATGATACATTATATATTGTAACAGATGCGTGCCTTCAGTTCGTTACCAAGTTCTATCTTTCACCAAGTAATTGTTGTAACAAATAAATGCCGACAATATATACAAAAAAATGGCCGTCTATCTGACTTAAATAACTATAACCTAATGATTCAACAAATTACTGCCTCAAATCACTACTGACTAATCTACACTCGGTAGATATTTTACATTAATAACAATATATCTCTAACACTAATATAGTCAAAAAGCCAACTAAAGCAACTGTATCACAATATATCCGTAACCCTGTAAATTGCCCCTTACTGCGACACCCGTGACTGTGTACACCCTTTACCGCAACACATCTTGACCACGCCACTCTTTTCTGCGACTGCCTTTTGACCAAGTCACCCTAGACAATATGAAACCGATGCCTTGGTAAACCCTGAAGTGCAGAATCTTGTGGAAATTTAGGTCTCTGTTTTGTATTCTCATAGTAACCATTTCTGCCAGCTTAGATGTCTTAGATGAAGGTTCTGAATAGTCCTCTGATATTTCCCCTAGTATATCAAACACATTCTCTGGATCATATTCTTCCAACAAGTCATGTCGTACTGGGTGTTTTCTCTCCTTGTGTCTCTTCAGACAAACATTCTTCTCCGTAACAAAGTCACACTCAATACACTCAAACTTCTTCTTCTCCCTGGCATTGGTTCCACAGATCACCAAGTGCGCTTTCTACTCTTCGCCTATCGGTAGTCTGTTGCAACACAGCGGACCACCAAACCTGGTTTTCTCGGAGTTGTTTTCACTTGTGGCATCTTCCTATAACACACAAATATTATTAGCTGTATTTTACAGTACATATTCAGTCATCAACACTGGTCTTCTTCTGACACGGCCTTTTGTGCTATTTGGAAGGTCTACAATATCGTTCACCTCGAGCTCTGTTGACTCATTGTCTATCTGTTCAACCTTGCCATCTGTACGAGTCTCACTTTCACCTTTAATAACCTGGGATAGGCATCTGCGCATCCTGTCGATATGAATGACATGTTCTTTCTTTTTTTCATCACTAACAACATTGTAAATAACATTTGATACTTTGTCAACTTCCTTGAAAGGACGTTGCCAAAAAATCATCAGCTTTGATGACCTGCCAACCTTCTTTAGAGGAAAAAACACGTAACCAACTCTCCCTTCTCGTAACTGTCCCATTTTAGTTTCAGGCCATGGTAGTGTTTTGTCTTAACATTAACCCCTTTAAGTTTTCTCTGACTAACTTATGAGCTGAAACCAACCTCTCTCTAAGTTCCTATGCTCACTGACTTTACAAAACTTGTTTAGGCACGTTAGGGAGATCACAGAACAGATCAACTGGGATAGAAACCTCTCTCACTAACATAAGCATGTTTGGAGTAAATCCTGTACTTTCCTGTTCTGTTGACCGGTACGCCATCATAACGTATAGTATGTGAACGTCCCAGTTATATTGGCACTTATCAACGTAGGCACAGAACATGCTTGCAAAAGTCCGATTGAATCTCTCTACTATACCATCCGATTTCGGGTGATTTGGCGTAGTTCTCGTTTTCTTGATGCCAAGCAAAATACACATTTCTTGAAAGAGTTTGCTTTCATATTGTCGCCCCTGATTCGAGTGTATGGCGTTTGGTACACCAAAACTAACAACAACCTCCTCCACGATGAGTGCAGCAACTGTACTGGCCTTCATATTTTGCATGGCAAATGCTTCTGTCCACTTGGAAAAGTAATCACTTACTACAATACTACCAAAATATATCTGTTCCCGTCCTTTGTTTCCGGTAATGGTCTGAGTATGTCAGACGCCAATCTTTCCATGGGTATCCTGTAGGCTCTATTTGCATAGGTGCTCGTCGTTTCGCACATTTCTTCCTACATGCACAATGTTTGCACCCAGCAATGTATTGTCGCAGACCTCTTTGCAAGCCACGCCAGTAGAACGTCTGTCTCACACGACTCAGAGTTTTGTGCACTCCTAGATGCCCACTAGTTCTTGTGTCATGACATATGTTCATCATGGTTCGTCTTTCCTCATATGGTACAACTATTTGACACTTTTGTGTTCTGGGGGTTTGACCTAACGTCTGCATAGTAAACCGTTGTCAATAGTCAATTGATCCCATTTTGCAACAAGGGATTTTACCACATTGCTCAGAGGCTTTACCGAACCTGGATTTGGCTTTTTCCCGCTCTTTACCCATTCAGTTACTAATTTCAGATCACTATCGGCCTCTTGTTTTTCTTTCAATGTACTTGTTTCTTCATCTTGTTTGCCAATGTTTACCTTTGGGTTACCATCCTTCTTGATTGTTCGTACAGGAAGTGGTCCCTCCCCATGGTCACGTTCCCAACCTTCATAGAATCCACACTGGTGACAGGGAATCCTTCTCACTGCGTCTGCGTTTCGGTGCAACTTTCCTGCTCTGTGCTGGATTTCTATATCATATGTAGAAATGACCTCGAGCCAACGAGCTAGCTGTCCTTCTGGTTCTTTGAATCTCATCAGCCACTTGAGTGCACTATGGTCAGTTCTCACTCTGCACTTATGTTTGTATAGATATGATCGATATTGCTTGATACAATATACCAATGCTAGTAACTCCTCTCGGGTTACGCAGTATTTCCTTTCTGACTTGGCAAGCGCTCTACTATTGTAAGATGTCACTTTTTCCTTGTCATCAATACATTGGGACAAGACTCCTTCAATAGCAAAATTGACTCGCATCTGTATCCAAGATGAATGGTTTTGTAAAATCAGGGTATGCCAAGATTGGTGCTGTGGTTATAAATTTCTTAAGCGTATCGAACGCAATTTGGCACCTGTCTGTCCAAGTGACAGATGTTCCCTTCTCTGTCAGCTGGTGAAGTGGTTTTGCGATCTCAACAAACCTGTGAATAAAACGTCTAAGGTAGCTACAAAGTCCAAGAAATGACCACATATATGTCTGCGTCATTCTTTCACTGCTTTCACCTTTTCTGGGTCTGTTGATATGCCATCTCCTGAAACAATATAACCCAGGAATAACACTTATTTTCAAATAGATGACATTTTTTGGCCTTGAGTTTTAGCCCTGCCTGACGAAGTCTGTCGAACACCTTTTCCAAGTTGACTATTGCCTCATGAAATGTTGTCCCTAAAATAATGACATTATCAATGTACACCAGGCATATTTCCCAATTAAGCTTTGCCAGCACTGTCTCAATCAGGCGTTCAAATGTCGCTGGGATGTTGCAAAACCCACTTCTGGTTACAAATGCAATCTTTTGCTTATCTGCCTCGTCCATTTCAACCTGCCAGTATCCCGAAAACAAGTCCAGTGTTGAGAACCACGTTGCACCCGACAGTGTCCAGTGATTCATCTACTCGGGGCAATGGGTATGCGTCCTGTATCATTACCTTGTTCAAAGCATGAAAGTCCACACAGAACCTTAAACTGACGTCTTTCTTCTGTACCAAGTTACGCCCGATGCCCACGGACTAGACGATGGTTCTTAATTCCTCTGTCTAACATACTTTGGACCTGCTGATCAACTTTCTCTGCTGCATGGTGGTGAAATCGCCTTGGGGATTGTTTAATAGGCCTATCATTATGAGTATCCATCGTATGCTTCACCATACTCGTTCTTCCCAAATCATCGTCTGATTTAGCCAAAAAAATCCTGTGATCTGCTCTGCCTGCTCGGGAGCAAAGTCCTCTCTAACCTCATTGAGGTTGAACAAGATGTTCCGGTAAATCGATCATTTATTAAACATTGTAGTTAACAAAGAATCAACCACTTCATATCATTTTAGAGGCATGGATAAAAAGGTGACATTCCAATACGGGAGTGGGTGAGTTATCATATACGTTTACCTGTATGTGTATTACATGCATAACTGACTGTGATATTTTATACTTGTGTTGTAATGTTGTTATCCATTCTGTAAGTGGACCCTTGGGTCTGTTGAATTGGAATTAAATAAATAAACAAAAAAGTCTCTCTTTGTAAGTACATCTAAAGTATAAGTGCTGCATATAATACAGTATAAATGTGTAAATTCTAGATAACGTAGTACCTCGGTTCGCTGGATATTCCTCAGCATTGTCAGATATATCAGCTGTCGTGTTGAAATTTATGTCACTACCTCACTTTTGATGAGATGGAAACTGTGACATTAGTATATTACTAACGTATTTGTCCCTGACTTTCCCTTAAATCTCCTGAACTGCCCGACAGTTACAAATACAACAGCTACTTTATTATATGTGACTTATTTTGTCAAAGATATACATCCGTCGTGGGACTTGGTGCGTCGACATCGTCGACTGGACAACCTGCGTCTGACTGGCGAACTGGTAAATCTTTGACTGAAAGTTTATATCACATCTTCTCTGGTGGAATAGGCAGTGACGTCACGTTCCTTGTCGGCGCGAAAAGGCAGAGAATACCAGCTCACACACTGATTCTCACCAGCCGCAGTCCTGTCTTCTTTGCCATGTTTAATGGTCCCCTGGCAGAGACTGGAGATGTGAAGGTTCCGGATATCACAGTAGAGGCCTTCACTTTATTTCTGACGTAAGTACATCGATTGAAAAGTACGCTAACTTTATAATGACCATTTACCTAGAGATGATAGTAACTACATAGTGATGAACACAATGACGTCACAATTTAAGAGTATACCACGTGAATAATACCATGAAAACTAGGCATACCTTTTCTTTTCTGTTTTCATACAATATTCGGATACGGAAGTACCAATTAAAAATTCTCTTACTCGATTTTCGGTGGATCCACTCCCCGTCTCAAATCTTGCTTCTGCTAATACTTTCAAGATACGCCACTCAAAACGATATAAACACTTGTACGGTTTTTACAAAAACTAAACGTAATTCTAAGTAGGTTCTAGTTAACTACATTTGAAAATTGATAAGAAATGAAACAGACCGAGATTCGAGCATGAGACGGACGGATGCTCCATGTTTCGTTCTGGTCAATGGTATTTATCGAGCCCTGTCCACTACTCATCAGAAAAGTTATTTGGTTAATTTGTAAAAATTATATTGCTTCACAATTACTGTTTGTATAAATTATATTGTAACAACAGTACAATGTCCTGTTTTTATCAGCTATCTTTACACAGACGAAGTAACACTGACAGTGGGGACGGTGGTGTCTGTAATGAGTGTCGCCCGGAAGTACTGTGTAGATGTCCTCGTTTCTGTGTGTGACAACTTCCTGATGACAAATTTCTCGCCAGCTATTGCCTGTTTCCTTCTCGAGCAAGCCCACATCTACACTGAAGATAGATTAATGGCAATGTGTCTCAATAGTATTGGGTTGTCGCCTGAAAAAATGTTAACTTCCGAATCCTTTGCTGTCCTGTGTCCGAGCTGCCTGACCAGTATAACAGAATCAGATGAGCTGGATGTTGACGAGAGTCACGTGTACAAGGCTGTTATGCAGTGGGCGGAGAAGGAATGCATTCGGCAAAATCTGGAGGTAATTGTTTATCAGTTACGTATTGTAATCCTATGTTCACATACGTTTTCTATATTTCCTATACAAATTGTCAATTTACTACAGTAAAAATCACAAGACAACAGTGTCAGGGTGTCCAAACGGTACATAGTGTTTTGGGTAAATCGTCAATGTCATATATATTTGAAATGTTAGATCATCTTTTTTGTAACAGGTTAGGTTTCCAGCAGCCGAAGTTACACGTTTGATCTCTCGTAGGGTTGACCACAGGATACTGTTTTTGTACAGAACATTGAATAATTCTCTTAATGAATTAAACTGAATACTGATGGACGAAGGCTGAACACCTCTAGGCCCATGTCATTAAATAGTATGTAAAAGTGTCACTGACAATATTATGCATATTTGTATAGGCTCATTGTGTTTCACGTATCAAAGATTATATCTTTGAAATGTTTCTATATTTTCTCTTCAATCTCCCTTATTGTTTGAGCATTAACATGTACAGGTAGATTGTTCCACGTATCTACTATTCTAAGTGTTTTCCTTTACACCGTTTTGTATCATTTTTCTATCTTTTGTGATCATGTCCTCGTGTTCTTGCGTTTTTATCATATGTTAATTGACTCTTTCATCAAATTCATGGTTAATTATTTCAATAACTGTAAGCTTGCGATCTCGTTAACGTCGGTTGTTGTAGAGTTTTCCAGGCGCTCTCCAGAAGAAAGGGATTATCTTTTATCTGTGTTCGAACGTTAAGCTTATCATCCCCATTAACATTTTAATCTTCTACACTGTTAATATTTTCTAATGTAGCTTTCTCGCCTTTCTGGCCCACGAGATATTGTTAGGGTTAGGGTTAGGCCTCTGTCATCCAGGATTAATGCTCTTCACGCTCATTTAGGTGGAGTTTTAATAACAATGGCTTGACAATATTTGGAAATTTGATTTTAATATGATTGTATAATTTTAACATCTTCGTAGTTTCTAAACTGTTTGGTATATTTTGGTGTCATCTGCGAAAAATGGGCGGGGCGTTTGTTGAAGATCACCCATATAGGTATAAATCCGAATGGTTCAATGTATAGTAAATAGCATTACCTTGCATGTGATACAGAATGCTTCCACGAATGAGTTCCTCCATTACCTTGTGTTACAGAATGCTTCCACGAATGAGTTCCTCCATGATACAATTACGGACCCCTTTTCTATGTAAATGACAGCAATGTGTGCATCCTTTCCTGTTTGGGATAGTTTTCACTTCGTCATAGATTTCTTCAATCAATATTATTGACAGAGGTTTACTCAATGTATCCCAATTATAGTACCATTGATACTTTGGCTACTTTTCATCAGAACCTGCTTATTTATTTACATCTACTTTTTGGGAAATTTCCTCAAAGTAACTTCGTTGCAGGGTGCGTCTAGGAAAGGTTGGTTAATTGTTCTACAACTAATCCTTCTTAAGTAAAGACATTGATACAGAAATTAATGAATACCTATGTTTTATCTGTATGGGCGAAAGCAATGTGTTTTGGGTCCCCATTTAGTCCCGTTAGATCCGAAATGTCTGTTCTTACTTTAGCTCCTCTTCGCATTGTTATAATTTAAAAAATGTTAAGGTTGGTTTTAAGCATTGTGTGCAATTGCTTTTTCAACATCCTTCTTTGCTTTTCGTAATTCCCATTTTACTAGGTCCCAAACACTTCTTTGCTTTCCTTAATTCCCATTATTTGACTTTGTTCCCACTTTTGCGTGTTCCTTGTATTTTCCTTGTGTTTTGTTGCCATATATTGAGTCCAAGACCGATGTTTCTTGTTGATTTTACTTCATGAAAATAACCATACCGTCTATAATCGTGTTGTACCGTCCTAATGCTTATTGGCGATCGAGGGATTTTTTCTTTGAAATGTGGTTTTTCTTGAATTGTTGTGAAGATTTATAGAAAGAAATGATATTCCCTTTTAATATCTTATATATATAATACATACAAACAAAAACGATTAATATAATTACAAAGACAACATACTTTGTTAAACACAACCGAACTTTCATTTAGGCGTGTCATGTAGATATTGTTTTTGAAAATAAGTTTTAGTCTGGTTTAGAGAATTAAACAAGCCCTGTTTCGAAAAATAAACCTAACTTACTAATAACTTAGTACCCTGCTCTAAACGAGCGTTCCAGTTGATTTCCTGTAGTTCCTTGGTATTTGTATATAATCCCCCTTAATTATATTATGCTGGGTCTTGACGGTTCCTTCTATTGAAATACAAATTCACAAGGTGATCGCTGTTTCCAAAAGGACATTCATATTCTACTTAGTTAACCACCTCTTCATAATTTCTAAGGATGTAGTCTGAGATACCCGAGTATTTTCCATTTCTCAGACGGGTATATATTTACATGCTGATATATGTAGTTATCTCTCAAAATTGTCTACGTCGTACTGTTTATCCCCCATTTAGTATATATTAGTATATATAAGATTCATCATTGGTTTGGTTTAATTTGTGCGACATGCGTGTGAAAGTGACGATTGGTTTCTTAAATATCAGTGTGAAGTGCGACTCGGGCGCGGGTCGCTTATTTCCCGCATATTATAGAGGGCCGGAGTTCTGACGTTATTCGACGACAGACCGATATAAAAAGTCGATAAAACGTCAGAATAATTCGGACTATCTTTACCCTAAAGCATGACTTGGTTTCTTGTATTATTTATTTGTTTATATTACTAGCGTCTATTTAAATTTAGTCATGACGTCAGAAAATTGGATTAAGACATCAGACATGAATTCAAAATGGCGATGTTGCAGCCTCGTCTGAGAAAAATGTTCTTGTGTATAATAGCATAAAATTCATGATAATTATCATGTTGATAGAATCGTTAATCATTTCAACGTATTCAAGATTCATGATAATTGTCCTTGATTTCTTTATAGGCTCGACAGAGCTACATTTGATTGAATATCGTTAGACTTGTTCGGGTTAGATTAAACATTATAAACCTTGTCGAACTTGTTTTTAATACGGTACATTCTGTTGCAGATAACGGGTGCAAACAAGAGAGCTGTGCTGGGAAACGTCCTCTCAACCATTCGATTCCCGATCATGTCTCAAGATTTTTTTCTGGATCAAGTCTGTAAGGATAAGATACTAACGAGTGATGAGATTGTCGACATCCTCATGTACATCCGAAACAATACCAACACACTTGTCACTAGCTTTAACAAAAGCTACAGAAAGCATTATGTACGGCATGGCAGGCCTATCTTTGAAAAAGTACATAAGGTTGGTAAAAGGCCAAACTGTTGGTGAGTCATGAAAATCACACCAATATTTCTGGTTATGACATATCCCGAGTTTTTTGTTGTTTTTGTCGATTGAAATTAAGATTGTAATACTTAATGCATGTGGAGTTCTAAGAAGAATTCATTGTCCTCATTGTTTTTAATTAATTGACAACTTTGAATCTATGTTTGACGGAGACAAAAACTGATGATGCTGATATTATTGACATACCTAGTTTTAACAATATTAATCCATTTGAATGTAAGCGGTTAAAGTCTGGTGGGACAGTTACCCTTTAGCGTGTGTACAAGAACCTGAGTCGTTCATTAATATTGTAGATTCAAACTTGACAAAATCATATGTGGTGGTGATGATGATTTATTGTTCGGTATTATAAACATACCCCCGGAAGGTTCTAATTATTGTATTGGAGATCCGCATCAAGATATTGCAATTGAATATCTAAGTCTATCCAATAACTAAATATTTAAGTCTATCCAATAACTAAATATTTAAGTCTATCAAATTACTAGATATTTAAATCTATCCAATATCTAAATATTTAAGTATATCCAATAACTAAATATTTAAGTCTATCTAATAACTAAATATTTAAGTCTATCAAATAACTAAATATATAAGTCTATCCAATAACTAAATATTTAAATCTATCCAATAACTAAATATTTAAGTCTATCAAATAACTAAATATTTAAGTCTATCAAATTACTAGATATTTAAATCTATCCAATATCTTAATATTTACGCATATCCAATAACTAAATATTTAAGTCTATCAAATAACTAAATATTTAAGTCTATCTAATAACTAAATATTTAAGTCTATCAAATAACTAATATTTAAGTCTATCAAATAGCTAAATATTTAAGTCTATCCAATAACTAAATATTTAAGTCTATCTAATAACCAAATATTTTAGTCTATCCAATAACTTAATATTTAAGTCTATCCAATAACTAAATAGTTAAGTCTATCCAATAACTAAATATTTAAGTCTATCAAATAACTAAATATATAAGTCTATCCAATAACTAAATATTTAAATCTATCCAATAACTAAATATTTAAATCTATCCAATAACTAAATATTTAAATCTATCCAATAACTAAATATTTAAATCTATCCAATAACTAAATATTTAAGTCTATCAAATAATTAAATATTTAAGTCTATCTAATAACAAAATATTTTAGTCTATCCAATAACTTAATATTTAAGTCTATCCAATAACTAAGTATTTAAGTCTATCAAATAACTAATATTTAAGTCTATCAAATAGCTAAATATTTAAGTATATCCAATAACTAAATATTTAAGTCTATTTAATAACTAAATATTTAAGTCTATTCAATAACTAAATATTTAAGTCTATCCAATATCTAAATATTTAAATCTATCCAATAACTAAATATTTAAATCTATCCAATAACTAAATATTTAAGTCTATCAAATAATTAAATATTTAAGTCTATCTAATAACTAAATATTTAAGTCTATCAAATAACTAAATATTTAAGTCTATCAAATAACTAAATATATTTCTTCTTGGTGACTTTAATGCTCGAACAGTAAGTAGCAATAATTTTTTTGATGAAATAGAAGAAAGTAATGAATTGACCACTGATATACTGCATATTGATACGAATAATTTTGACAGATACCACATATCAAAAACTAGAAAATGTCACGATATATATGCAATGGTATAGTTGGTAGTGACATGATACATGGAGGTAGTGAACAGGCCGCAGATATACAAATATTCCTAACAACCCGGAACGTATAGATAGAGGGGGGAATACTAAAAACAGGCATTTCATATCATCTAGATACTCATCAGATATGTTACATTAGAAAAAGTTGAAAAGGGTATTAACCTTCTTGAAGTTAATAAAGCATGCTATTATGATATTATAAATGAATGTGTTCAGCTCCTAAAATGACTGATCTGTATGTCAAGCTGTTTACCTGTGGTAAGCTTCCTGGTCAGTGGCTTCTAGGCTCTATTATCCCATTATATAGACATAAAGGTTCAGTAAATGACTCTAAAATTATAGACCTATTACAATTGTCAGCTGCTTTAGTAAATTATTTACTCAAATATTTAATGAAAGACTTCAAAACTATTCTGAAGAATATAACATCATATGTGAAAATTGGTATTTTTTATTGACTTCGAAAAAGCGTTGGATAATATATGACGAAATAGTCGCTGGAACAAACTATTAATCAATCATGTAAATTGGAAATGGACCATATTATTATATAATACGTATTTTTAATTGAGAAAAAAATCAGAATGATCAGTTATTGGTCAAGAATGGTACAGTCTAAAGAGAGTAATTCGAACATTGTTTTGTATGGTATGTTCTATCGTGTTTATATTAATGAAAACCATTTAGTCCCTTACTTGAGATTTATACAAAGTATTCTAAATGAATGTGGACTGATGTATATTTGGAAATCACAGTTTTCAGAAAATAGGTCTGTATGTTACAGAACATATAAATATAATTGTAATTTTGAAAATTATCTAGAATTGCTGACTGAAAATGAACGAATGGTATTGTGTAAATTTAGAACTAGTAATCATAAGTTTATAGTGGAAACTGGAAACTGGAATAATGTTGAGTACCAAAACAGAATCCATGTACATATATGTCCAATTGGGATGCCCAAGACATCGGTGACGAATTTCACTACTTGTTAAAATGTCCCTTTCTGTCCTTAGAAAGGAAGTTATATTTATATAAATACTACTATGTAATGTTATATTTATATAAATACTATTATGTAAAGGTTAGGGTTAGGGTTATGTAATGCCAAATATTGTAAAGTTTCGAGAACTAATGAATACAAACAATGTTAAAGTTTAAAGAAATAAAAAAAATAAAAAAATAAAATGGTTTAAAAAGTGTCTTTTCTCTCCATATATATTATATTTGATACTGTATACTGTTAATTTTGTAAAGAGAAATAAATTTGAAAGCATATTAGCTTGATATAATACCACTGCGGTACATCTGTTTTTATTCAACCAGTATATACTCCATTGGCTGTCCGAAAGTGATCCGAATATCGTGATCATTAACAACCGACCTTCCTATAAGATTGTCCGAACTCAGATAAATCTTATCTATACAATGTCTCTCAAAACCAAACCCATGTGTCCTAAACGTTCCTGAATGTTAAGGAACTCCTTAACTGTCTTTTTCTCAATTGTAAGAGAGAGAGAGAGAGAGAGAGAGAGAGAGAGAGAGAGAGAGAGAGCATGAAAATCAACTACAATGAAACTACATACTACAGAACAATATCTTCATCAGGTTTTATGAAACATTTTATTCATCTCCAAAATGGCAATCAATATCAAGAAGTTTTGAGGAAATTGACAAAAAGTTATATTTTGTTGCAGAGATAAAACTGCGAGGGAGGTAACTTTGCTCTATCTCACAAGACATCTTGTAACATCTTTTCATCAGTGAAGAAAAATGGATATCACGCTGATTGCACCGTTATCAAAACTGTAACTATACATTGACAATTTGGTTTTTTCGGTATGATTATGGCTTTGATTAATCTTTCTTTTTTTTTTTTTTATTTAATTTTTTTATTTTCAAAGATTTTCAGAACATGTACATTATACAGAACATCACATCAACACATATCCACACATTCACACATATCTACTATTGAAATTATCAGCAACCTCATCCTCCTCATCATCCTCATCATTTGATGCTGATTTTATACAATCACCAAGACACATTCAATTCTCACACACTTTCACACATAGAATAGACAAAACAAATGGACAAAGAGCACTGAGAGAGAGATCAGACTGCCAAATCTGAGAAGATATTAAATAAAATAAATAACTGCTGTGAGTATTTGTCAATATTTTGTTTTTTAAAGTAGAATAACAACTAATAACTTAATATAAATAGTCATAATACTCAGGGTTAGTTGAGGTCAAGCTCTACTAATTTTAACCATTTTTCCCATTCAGAAGTAAATCTTCTAAGGCCTTGTTCCCCTTTACCACGAGCAATATATTTCTGAACCTTATAGTAATCTTTAATCGAATTGACTAAAGCCGTCACATTAAGTGACTTATGAAAACATCTGGTTTTGTATATATATTGTTTAATGAACAGAGTAATTTCATTATCAATTCTGGTATAAATTCCAGTTTGGTTGATAAAACCAAAGATCATTGATTCTTTATTTAGTGAGAAAGGAATAGTGAGAGCACTTAAAAGACTTTCAAAATTGCTCAGAAATTTTTGTACTTCCCTGCATTCCCATAAAACGTGGGTAATTGTCTCCCTTTCTATGATACAAAAAACACAGTGTGGGTTATTTACAAGTCCAATTTTGCATAAATAAGAATTGGTTGTTAAAATATAATGATTAATTCTAAATTGCAACCATTGCAATTTTGTATTTTTTGTAACCCTGAAAGGAATAGCATATATTTTCCCCCAAGTTTCCTGATTATAGTCGAATATAGTTCCCCATTTTGTTTGAGCAGTTATTGATGCATTATTTCTGATAAGTATATTATAGAAGTCTTGAGAACCTTTTTTCTTCTTTAAAATTATTACAAGATGTAACGGTATAATTGGGTATATCACATTTTTGTTTGGCAAATTAAGTTGTTTCAGATAATTCTTTATGCTTGTTATCAAGCCATGATATTCTAGATAATTAGTTATTGTACCATGTAGATCACAAAATTCCTTAAAAGACAAGAAAGAGTAGTCTGTGTTGTTTTTCAACAAATCATTAATTATCATAATCCCGTTTTTAAACCACTTACTATAAAAAACAACTTTATTACCAACAGAAATATTTTTGTTATACCATAAGGGTGTCTTAAGTAGGGCAAAATTCTCATTTTTAAACAGCTCCTCTTTTGCTCTTAATTTATACCATGCCCTAAACACATCTTTCCAAAACACATTTTTGCAATTTCCTTGAACTTTATTAAGGTACTCGTTTCCTGAGTTAGCCAAGATATGAGGATTTACACAAGATTTTAAAATGCTTACCCATTTACCTTCTGATCTAAAAAACCTTCTTATCCAACTTATTTTCAGAGCTTCAATAAAAGACATTAAATTAACCATTTTTAGCCCACCTTCTTGATAATTTTGGATTATTATGTCCCGTTTAATCTTATCAGTTTTGCTATTCCATAAAAAATTGAAAAGAACAGAATTGAGCTGTTTTATAAATTTTTCAGATGGATTAGGTAAGGAAATGAACAGATGATTCATCTGAGAAATTAATAAAGATTTAATGACATTAATTCTACCAATAGGTGTGAGCAACCTTCTACTCCAGCTCTTAATAAGAGCTTTAAGTTTAACTAATTTTTTATCAAAGTTCATTTTAGGTATTTTGCAAAGATCTACATGGAAATCTATCCCAAGAAGAGTAAATTTATTAACTCCCCATCTAAGATTCATATTTGGAAGGAGAACATCATTGCTGTATTTTTTACTGCCTATCCAGACAACTTCAGTTTTACCTACA